TGATTTCTCACTCTGCTGCAGATGTGTCCCTGCCTTACCTCTTGCTTTCCAGTACCACCCAACCTTCTCCAGGACCTCAGCTTTCCTGACCTGCGTGCCAGAGGCTGGGCAGCAGAGCAGGTTGCTGCTTCTGTGGCTCTCCTGGCTTTTCCTCTCGCATCTGTAGCAGTCCTATTACCTGCAGATATGCTCTCGCTGGTGGGATGCCTCCCTCAAAACATGGAGTTTGTCCTGTTTAGGATTGGAGATGAAATATGTGGTTAGCTGGTGTAAAAAAGCAGTGCCCATTTGCTGCGTCAAATTGTAAGCGCTTTGAGGGCAGGGCCCATCTTTTATGTATGTATGTGTGGGTGTGTATTTTCATACAATTCCTAACATGTGAGACATGAGTCTGTATCTGTAACGTGCAAAGCTACAGCGATAGCTCAGAAAAATGTTTTCCAGATCCTCCGAGGTAGATAGCAGTTCTAATTTGAATATGAGGGCTTTTCAGAGAGAAAACTTTGGGCCTGTGCCAAAGTATGTTACAGCAGTGGTAAGTTAACTGTAGAAGCATGGCTCTATGTTCAGAATCCTTTTGGGATGGGTTCCTTGACCAGTTTAGGGAGAAGAAGCTATGTTGCATCCTTCGTTGATTGATGATCATCTTTCATGCTCAATTCAGGATAATTGTATTACTGCCTGTGCTAGAAATAATTTGGATTAGAAAACAGAGCTTACTCTTCGTGTGTGCTGCAGCATCTGTATACAGAAGAAAATCTGAACTCAGCAGCATTTCAGTTTGGTTTAAGCATGATGCTAGAGACAGAAAGTATTTTTAAGCCTTTGCAAGCACAATTTGGGACTGCATTAAAATAGAGGGTTATATCAGTGAAATTTTTAGTTTCTGTTCCTATAGTCCACTATTAATTTACTAAGTTTTGCACTAAATTTCTGTACTGCTTTTGAGATATAACAGACTGTTCTACAGTGCATAGTATTGTGTGGTTTTACAGTTCCTCTTAATGTTCTCTAGGTTTTGAAAATCCTAGGAACTTCACAGGATTGCATGCAGTTTTGGGGAATGTCATTTGTGGGGCCAGCCATTTCCTTCTAGCTCAGATATTGAAAGGATTTGGACTCATAATTCTCAGTAGATTAAATGAAGTTAGGTAATTTTGGAGACCTAAATTCTTTCTGAGTGTATCTGATAAACATGAGATGTGGTAAAGAGGTAGGAGTATTGTGGTGGGATTGTGTGAATGGCAACATGTTGTGGTACAGATAAGTAGGATGTGGAACACAAGTACTAGCTCATTTTTGCTGCTCTGCTTTGGTCAGATCCAATACAGCTGTCTTCCAGGTGCACAGGCACTTCCTAGTGATGTGAAATTTTGATTATTTAGTTGGGTTAAGTATGGTCTTGTGGAGTAAACATCCTCCTATACCATTTCTTTTGATGTACTTTTCTGTTCATGGAATGGGGTACAAATGTTACCAAAGAGAGCTGAAAGGATGGATCGTATACACTACTTTCTAGTTCCAGTAGACCTACTAGCTGCAGGCTGTGAACATGACACTGCAATGTCAGTGCTCCATGTATGAATAATAGCTGCAGTTTTTAGAGACCAAATTGAAAGACTTTCTCTTGCCCTACACCCTTTCATAACCAAAACATATAATTTTCTCATGGTTTGCAATAACAGCCGTTGCAGCCAGGCTAATGGATGAGTTTTCCAGACCTACTGCATACTGCAGAAGAGATTTTCCCGCTGTTGAGCTTGCCAAATGGGCCTGCCAGTGACTTGTAATACAGTCATTAGGTCTCAGCCTCCACCTGAGAGCTGAATTGCAAGGACCACTTGTGTTTTTACTACAGTGACTGAAGTTATTTTGGATATGCGTGAGAGCTGAACAGCTGCATGTCACCCTCTTCCTTCAGGGCCACAGGCCTGATTTGAAATTCGTTGGACACTCACTGTTGGACAGCATTGCCTACTGTCTTGAAGTTAGGGTTTTCTCCGTGCTTTGTATCTGATCTGCTTATGGAGCAAGCAGGTTAAGAATTTCAACTTCTTCTGAAAACTGAAATGTTCATGTTAAAGCTTAGGACACGTGCTGAGTTAGACTGCAAGTGAACTGTAGAGTTTCTGTCTTTGAAAGCCTTTAGTAACAGATGTAGCAATAAAGAATGACACAGATGTTGCTGGATCCACCAAGATGGCCTCTTGAGGATTTTTTCCATGTGATTTTCTTTATATCTAGCTGGTGCATTACATTTTTTTTATTTAACGCAATTCTTTAATCACCTGTATTTCCTTGAGACTTAAGACCTGGTTCCAGCATCAATTTGGAGAATATCCTTATACTCTATCATCATGGTTCTGGCATGTCTGAACTGACCAGCCCTGGGCATCTGGCTGTCATGAGGATGCTTAGTCACAGGAGAAGGTTTGACAGTGCTCCCTTTCCGAAAGCTATAAAAACAGTGGAAGTGGTACCATGAAACTTCTCCTGGGGATGAGAAATAGAAATATCCCCTTTTGCTTGCTGAGTTAAACAGAGATTAGGGTTTTATTAGGTAGAAACATGAATGACAAAGTTGTTTCCTGTACACAGCCTTGAAGTCTCTGATGAAGTAAAATGACACGAAATTTGCAGATGCTAAAAATAGTGGTAATATCAGTTTGATGTTGCATTTTGTCATCCTCCTATAATACAGTAAAATTGCCTGTAATTCACATTGTAAAATCGACATGCAGAGTTCTTTGAAGACAGGATCTTCATTGTGTGTCTGCAGTGGCCAGAGTAACAAACCAACCCACTACATTGCTATGGCAGGCCATACAAATAAATAAATAAGGATGAATTGCACCGTCTCCTTGGGGGCTATCAATCCATCTTGGTTAGAATGTGAGCTCTTCAGCACAGGAAATCTTTGTGCTTTGTACAGACTTAAATTTGCCCCTGGTGCTTAAGATAGTAATAGATTATGTTAATTTGTACATTACATTATGTAAAATGTGAATTTAATCCAGAGATTTAACACTGAAGTCCTTGCTGACAGTGACATTATTACAGGTTTATAGAATTTACTTGCGGCTCTGTTTTCAGCCTAGCATTTTAACTGAGCTCTTACAGCCTGTCAGAGGTGATTGCTGTAATGTGAAAGTGCTTTGGAAAATATGTATGAATTGTGGTTTACTTATTATCATTGTATGCATATTTCATCTGTTACTACTAAATGGGTCATTGCAGCAGTGTCACCAGCTGGGTAGCTGCACTGTTTCTTTCCTCCTGTTTCCTAAATGCTATCAATTTTGTGTCTTTCCCCTACTCCCCACTTGTTTGATTTTCTGACCCTCTGTAGCTCTGCAGGCTACAAGCAGAAAAAAATATTTCTTCAAAATGAAAAACAAAACCCATCCTGAGGGAGCTAAAATAGTGTCTGCCCATCTGTTATAAGGTTAGAAATATCACTACCTTGAACTATGGCTCCATTTGCAGCATTGTTTATATTTTACTTGAAGGGGATATTCCTACACCAGGATGCAATAGGAACGTCATTTTTCCTCTAGCATGAGCAGATGTCCTATCTGCAATACTAGCAATAACAATGTTGCTTCCTGTTGTTGCTGTTAACAGGCTTGAGCTGAAAGCAAAGGACACACAGCCAGTGCCATCAGCATCAATGCTGCCTGCGCACCTTTTTTGCACTCCTTAACCGTTGATGTCTTAGCTAGTGGGCAGGATACTGCCCTAGAGCACAGATTTATTTCCTTGCTGCTTGACACAGGAGAGGAATGCTTCTGAAACCTCTGCTGTTCTTCTCTGCCTTGACCTTTGCTTTCTCAAGATCGTTTATACTAAACCCGTTTACAAGTTGTATGTTACATACTGAAGGAAAAGGCGCCTGAAGTGAATATGACACATATTTAAGTGTAAATGTCCCTACTCTTAGTCTCCAGGGCACAGCACTGTGTAAACCTTCAAACAGCAATTAGTGCATTCTTTTTCATATTTTTTTTTTACAGGAGGTCACTATCAAATCTCATGACACATTTCTATCACTAACCTGGCAGGCTGCCATTCAGACCACAGGAAGTCCAGGAGTAAAGAGTATACACTTAGAGCCTTATTCCATCTTCATTATTTCAGACACCAGCAGAATTCTTTAAAGTCTCTGGAGACTCAATGTGAATGGAAAGTATTTTGCCTGAATAGTACCCCTTATAGAGACATTGTCACTGAATCACAAATTTAGATGAGTGTTGTGGCTAGTGGTTTAATCTATACTACATGCCAGTTTTTTGGGGTTTTTTTCACACAAACACAGGCAGTGCTAATCAGTTCTAATGGCCTACCGGGGTTGTCTGGCAGTGAGAGACTTCTTGATTTTGAAAGCAGGACACTGGAGGGGAAAAAAAAATACTTCCTCCTATTCCAGAGTTTATCTGAGAACGTATTCACATTGACAGTGAGGGAAATAATCTATATTAATGACTTTCAATGGGAAATACGACCTTACTAAAGGAGGTAAGGATTCTGTGCATGAAAAATGTGCAAAAAAAAAGACTGTGCATTGGAAGTAAAGGAGCAGAGACAAAGCTGTGCTTTGTGCATAAAAATTAACAGGAATTGAAAATCATACTTTGTAAGTCAGTGTCCATAGCTGTTGGTTAGATGATAATGTAGAACCTTAAGTTCTTTTCCTATATATTTTTCTGTGCTGCAGCATGTGAATGCATTGTTGCACTTCAAATGGTTGCCAGTCTTGTCTGTCACTGCCATATAGGGACTTAAAGAGATGGTGCCTTTTCCTCTCTTTCACATTTGAATCATTGCCAGTTCAATGGCTGCTGCTGTCACTTGTGTTTTCGTGGAACTATAACAGTTGTGAAAATATTTTATTGTTATTTTGTTGAGCTGTACAGAGCTGTGTTTCTGTATTAATGTTTTTTCAGTCTTTCAGGATGTTCTGGTCATTTTTATGGATTCATACAATGTCATCCTTATTTCAGGTTATTGAAGGAAAGCTGGCTCCTTTCTTGGGGAAGGTGATCAAGTTTGCCACCTCTCATGTGTATAGCTGCAGTCTCTGTAGTCAAAAAGGATTCATCTGTGAGATTTGTAACAATGGAGAAATCCTTTACCCCTTTGAGGATATTTCTACAAGCAGGTACTGCAATTAAATTAACATTTGATTCACCTAACGTATCCTTGTGGATTCTCAGCCTTATGACGTCTTTTTTAAATAGCTGGGGTCTGGATTTGACTAATTCACATTCCCATGCAGCTGCACAAGCTCCTGGCCCAGAGAGGCCACAGTCTTGGAAGTAGATGGGAAGAACTACTTCCCAAAGTAAGTTTCAGAGCAGCTGCTTGAGATGGGAAGATTCCCCAGAAGAATCACATCGTGTGATTTATTTGAAGATTTCTGAGTTTGCAAAGTGTCTTAAAATACTAAATGGATTCTCTGGTGTGATCATAGGCATCTTTTCACTACCTGATGTCACTGGGCCCATGATGTACTGGGATTGTGTGTTGTAAAGCAGTAGCCATTTATCTGGAACGTTTTCTCTGTGAAATTTTATGGGTAATTCTTCATTTTCACCGTGCACACTCCTCTTTGTATGTATGCAAGTTTTTTTTGTTGTTGTTTTTTCGTTTTGGTTTTCCCCTTCCTTTAATGACAGCTCTTCTCAGGTAGTTACATAATATATGTAAGTATGTGCCCAGCCCTAAATTAAATCCACGAACATTTATTTCATCTTAAATGGAGTACTGGATGCCAGATTAGGGGCAGGAGTTGCATGGAAGATCTTAAAGCAAAATGCAGGATATCAGTGTAGACTCAGCAGTGCAGCAGTATTACTATTCTTTTTCAAACGTATCTCAGATTTTAAGTAAAGGGGGACTTTTTTTTAACTCAGCAGAAGACTGTATCTGACAGCACCACATTCCTCCACAGATAAATACTTTTTGTTTGTTTCAAAAATAGCCATTTTAATTTGTTCTCCAAAGAGCTACGCTGGAAAGAAGAGAGAAAAAAAAAAAAAAAAAAGGAAGGGCCACCTTTGGAAACAATCAGGAGCAGCCTCTTAAAAGGGTTTCCTTAGGAATCTGATTCCTCTGTGCGTACAAAGATGTTAAATTACAAGTAGCCAAGGACTCCTCTTTGGGGGTTTTCAGCCTGACCTGACTTTCAATGACTGTTTGCACATTCTTTCTCCAGACTCTCATTCTTCAAAATGCATTGACAAAGCAGGGAGCATAAACTATACAAGGTGTGCAGCTGAGCTCTATAAACAGTTTTCTGTAAAGAATGTGTGTGAGGGTGCTTGGTGAGATAGGCTGAGTTAAAAAGAGACTAGGATATAAAAAGCATCAGAGGCTTATTAAGAGTGTATAAAAGGCAATTAAAGATTGATGAGAAAATGTAAGAGCATTTGAGAAGACAAGTTTACCTGAAGTATCTGTGTGATCTGCCTGGGTATTTTTGGTCACAAAAACATTGTTGGATGTATATTGTTTCCATACCCTTCAGCTGAGATAAGTCTTACTTTGCAATTACAACCTTAAAACCTTCAAAATAGTATTTGCCAGTAGTCCAGTGAAAGCCAAAAGAAGCTGCTGTAGCTCCTGTTTTTATGTGAATTAGAAACCAGAAAGGACATTTATTCATGTTTCACAAATGTGGTTGATGTCATGCCAAAGACAACATCTTCTTTAGTGATTTTAATTGAAACACAGTCGGCATGAATGGTTCTTCGATATTTCTCTTTCTTGTTTTGTCAGAGGTCATTTTACTTGCTTCTTTTGTACTCCTTATTGCTAAACCTTTTGTCCTTAGCATTTTCTGTTTCCCTTTGTTAGCTTTTTCATTGTATTACTACTCATGTGGGCACATGCACATCTGTGAAGCTAACCAGATTATGACAATCCCATATTTTCACTCTTTTCTGCCTTTAGGCTAGAGACAAGTTGTAATGACAAAGGAGCTTGTGCATGTTACTGTGCAACTTCATTGTTGCAAAGCACTGAAGGAAAGGCCCGGAAAGAATTTTCACATCTGTAGCCATCTTACACAGATCAGAGAGGTTTTGTAGTCAGTGCTCAGGTATAACATGGAAGGCTGGTTAGACATAGGAAAAGGTCTCGGTTTCCTGGAATTGCTGTCTGCAGCATATTACTCACATTTTACACTCAGGACTGCCTGGACTTGGAATTACCCTGGTTGTAGCTGCTGAGTTAAAGAAGAAAGAGCAACAGAGCTCTGAAGACTCTCTTTCCACGCTTTCACGATTTAGTCACTCACTCCTGAACATTCTGCTAATTCTACCAGCAAACTGGGCTCTTGGTTTGGAAATATTTGAAAGTGGGTTCAGCTTTTCTAAACTTCACCTCTGTGTTGCATGTTTGAATAGGGAGGTCAGTTTGTGTGTTTGTCTGTGTTGAGCTGACGTTTGTTTTCCTGGCTACTTCCCTTAATTTCTTTACTCTTTGGAGGAAAGAGTGGCAGCTGTCAGAGAGGCTAGTGCCATTCTGAGGTGGTTTTCAGATGACTGTTACTTTTCCATCTTTGTGGTGTCTTAGGTCACCTTCTCGAGTTCATTTCTTTCCAAAGCCTTTCTCGCAGTTTCAGTCTTCAGTAGGAATTTATGAAGGATGGGTCTTCTTTAGATATGTGTATCTCAGAGAAAAGGGGGGGCCCCTCTTGAGGGCTGGAGTTTCTCGTTGGTCAGGTTATTTGCTTTAAAAGTAATTTTTGTCAGTCCCTGAGCAAACAGAGTGAATACCTGTGTTATGTGCTCCTCAGGGTTTGAATACACATATATTACATACCCTTCTCTCACTAATCAGCATGACACATTCCTTTGTTGGCAGAGGTTCCAAAATAAACACAATCAGTTCACTTAATTAGCGTGTCTGTGGGCTGTGCTTGTCAGACTCTTTACATCCTGCTCAACAATACAGAGCAACAGTTTGCTGCCTTGAATGTAAGGGTGGGCTCACAAAGTCATAAGCTTTCTAATGATATTTCCTTTCTGTGGCTTTTCTTGGGAGGTGGCCATTCTGCACAGAGCTTAATGAAAGCTTTGATTCAGTAGTTAAACTATTTATTTTTTTTTGTAAATTGGCCCAGCCTTTTGGATGCCTCTTCTAATCTGATTCCTCTGTCTTCACTTTCCTCCTTTGTCTTTCTTTGAAGTATTTATATGAATTCTTCTAGATTCTTCCTAAATTTCAAAAATTATGCTTCTTTCTGAAGACGTTTAAATCGTAAAGTCTATATTTAAAGCCTACTGAGTTAATTATGCATTTCAAGGAGCAAATAGCCAGCTAATGTAAACTCTCAACATCTCTAGAGGTTGATTGCTGGAGTTCTGGCAACTTTAACAATCAGAGCATCAACCTCCTGTTTCATGTCTTCAACTAAATTTGCCTCAGGCTAAAATTTTCCAAATAAACTTATTTATTCCTACTTTATTCCAAATTTTATTTTTACAGATGTTGTGAAATGAGCTTAAATATTTCGGGTTATAAACATGTTTAATAGAGCAGTTGAGCACTACCCCTCAAGTTTTCCTAGTATTGGTCATTATTCATTAATGTAGTGTGTCTTAAAATAAAAAGTAATGGTAGAACGGGAAAAAAAACTGCTTAGTGCTATAGTTGTTTATGATATGTAGCCCCATTTGATTTACCTAGAACATTCTTTAACAAGGGTTATATCTTAAAGAATAATGAGAAAAATACCTTTGGAATAAGAATGGAATTATTCATTATTATAATTTTCTGTCTAATTAAATAATTGGGTAATTATGGTTAAGATTATTATTTGCTACGCAGTTAATAAAGTTATGCTCTTGCCCGAGTGCTGCCGTCCTAGTGACTACCCTCATAGGTAACGCATTGTATTTCACTGGCAAATCTACTCACTTGGTTAAGGCCTGGCAAGCCAATTCCTTGCCTTTTATGTTCTGCCTCTGGATGCACATGAACGAAGGAGAGTGGTTCTTTTGTGTTTGTATTCATTTATCAAGGCTAAACTGTTTTTGCTTTGTGAAATTAATTTGTTCTGAAGATCAGTTAAGACATGTAGCCCTTTAAAGATACAAACCAGAAGACCCAAGTTTAAAATAGATGTGCCACAGAACAGGCTTAACTATATGAACCAGGATGCCTCTATAATCTTTGGCCACCATCCTGTTAAGACCTATGAATGTACTTAACTTACATGTAGCAAAAAGTCCTACTAAGGGCTCTGGGGCTGTGCCTACATTTATACACATGCCACGGTTTTTGCAAGGCTGCAGCTAACCGTGTTGCAGATGCTGTATTGCTGGACAAAATCAGCTCTGAGCATTTGTGAGAAAGGTAGATAGTAGGTGAAGAGATTGACATATACAGCACAGGGCATTTCCAGAAGATACCTGGGCAGAAGTGCAGGGTATCATTTGAAGTACATCATTTTCCCTATTACTTTGGTGTGTTTTGTGCTAGACAGCCCTTCTCTAGACCCAGTTCCCTTGAGGTGTGCTAGTGTTGTAGTTCTTGTTTTGTGAAAGAGCTAAATTCACTGGATGTTGATAGTGTAAAAAGCTTATTCAAAGTATCCTGAAGGGATCTGCTCAGCATAAAGAAATGTAGGCATCAAAGCAGGTGCTAAATTATCTGCATGATGTAATTTCTGTTGAATCTGTCAAAATGGGCTAAAACCTGCTGGACCAAATCTGATTTTTGTTTGAGTAGATCATTGCAGTAACTTTATCTAAAATGCATTACAAGAAAGAATATACAGGCTTTTTCATAGAGCATTGTATTTTGGATCTAGATTAGCTTTAGAGATCAGTTTTTCCTACCTTGTGTCAGATTAGTGTGAATTAGAAGGTTCTGCATAAAAGCAGGCACTTAATTTCAAGCAAGAAGGCCTCTGCAGTGCTACCTGCTGCACTTTCCCCCATCCAGGCATGGCAGCCATCTCACTTCCTGTTTCTGCTTTATGACTCCCGTCCTGTGCCTTCTTCCTTGTTCTAGATTTCCCACTTGCTGTTCAGGACCTTCTAATTTCCTCTTCCTTCCTCATGCAGAACTCCCTTTTGAGGTAGACCTTCGCCATCTTGCAAGCAAGGTTCTTTGTATATCAGACACCAACTTTTCAAATACCCCTGAAAG